CTGCAGGAGCGGCTGCAGCGAGCAGGACACCCGGCGAGGAGGGGAGCATCACCCGTGTCCCCGGGAGCAAAGGTACACTGGGTCCTCGCAGCCACCCGGGGTGCCCCGTGGCTGGGGCAGGGAGCAGGGATGGGGCATGCGGGTTCCTGCTGTCCATCCTCAGGGCATTCTGGTGTGGCTGGGGTGGGGGACAGGGCGTCAGCCGGGCGTGGGTGCCGCAGCCGGGAGGGGGACAGCCTGGATGCCAGCTCTGCGGTAGGCAGGGTGCCGTGACCCCACTGGGCACCTCTCTCTGCTCCAGCATCTCGCAGGGGTTCAGGTCATCCCTGGGTTTCTCCGTGGCTCTGCTTCATTTTGGTTCTTCTCCTTTACGCCCCTCTCTCCTTCCCAACAGGCAAGCAGAAGACACTGGTGGCCATGGCTGCGGCGGGGTTTCCCTGTAAGGGATGCTGGAGAAGAATCCTTGCTGCCCAGGCACCGGAGCTGTTGGCTTAGCCCTTGGGAGGGATGGCGAGCCGAATGGGGCTGAACACCACGGACGGCCTAGAGCGGCTCTCCATCCCCGAGAAGTCCATCGCCCAGGAGGTGGTGGGTCTCTTCTGCATGGTCCTGCTCACCCTCACAGCCCTGGTGGCCAACACTGTGGTGATGGTCGTCATCCTCAAAACCCCGCTTCTCAGGAAGTTCATCTTCGTCTGCCACCTCTGCGTGGTCGACCTCCTTTCTGCCATTTTCCTCATGCCCCTGGGGATCATCTCAAGCTCCTCCTGCTTCAACAGGGTGATCTACAGCATTGCCGAGTGCCAGGCCTTGATATTCCTGAACATTTGCTTCATCAGTGCCTCCATCCTCACCATATCCATCATCAGCGTGGAGCGGTACTACTACATCGTCCACCCCATGCGGTATGAGGTCAAGATGACCATCAGGCTGGCGGTGGGCGGAGTAATCTTCGTTTGGGTCAAGTCTGTTCTCATCACTGTCCTGGCACTGGTGGGCTGGCCTCAAGGCAACGAGCCCCCCCCCCCCAGCCGCTGCACAGTCTACTGGAGCCCTGGGGCCCACAAGAAGGTTTTTGTGATCCTCTTCAGCATCATCTGCTTTGTTCTGCCCACCATCATCATCTTTGCTGTCTACTGCAGTGTCTACCGCGTGGCCCGGGTGGCATCCCTGCAGCACACGTCCATGCCGGCACAGGCAGCTGCACCAAGACACCGAACTGACTCCATCGCCAGCCAAGTGACCATCATCACCACCAGGAACCTGCCACTGCCCAGGCTGACGCCAGAGCGCTTTTTGGGAAGTAACAAGGCCATCCTCACCTTGGTCCTCATTGTGGGACAGTTCTTGTGCTGCTGGCTGCCTTTCTTCGCTTTCCACTTGCACTCCTCTGTTGCCACTGGCATGGTGGGCGGTGGGCATGGGGAGATGGTGGTCACCTGGATTGCCTACTCCTCCTTCGCCATCAATCCCTTCTTCTACGGGCTGCTCAACCGCCAGATCCGGGAGGAGCTGGACCGGCTCCGG